CATTTTCTATGTTTTGATGATTCTATGGTGGGAAGCAAATTTGCTCCTGGTCAGCTCCAACTCCAGGGGGTCACAAGAGATTGGGAACCCTCCTGGTTCTGGTGCTGCTCAGTTCCCCACAGGAGCCAGAAGCCAAGCAGCACTGGGACAAGGTAGCTGTCTGCTCTCCCCTTCCTCCCACCCCATCTCAGTACTGCTCAGCTCCTGGCTCCCCACAGGATCCAGAAGCTGAGCAGTTCTAGGACTGAGGAGCTCTCTGCTTCTCTACATAGCCAGCGGCTGACCAGGAGCTTTCCTGCTTCGGAGGCAGCTCCAAGCCAGCCCTTGACTGGGTAGGGATTTCTCTGAGCAGCTCAGGGCTAAATGGGAGCTGCCCCAGAAGCAGAACAGCCCCTGCCAGCCCCCAGCTTGTCCCCATGTGCACAGGGCTAGGAGATTTCTGCAGTGGCAGCTGTCTCCTGGCCCCATACAGAGCAAGACCTCTCCCTAACTAGCAGAACTCTCCTGGCCCCATTTACATTGGGACTGGCTCCCATGCTCCCTGCCAGCCCCTGGGCTAGCACCCTGGGGAGCTCCCCCTGGCTGCTGCAAAGGGCCAAATCAGGGTAGGAGCAGTCCTGTACTGGGATTCTCCTCCTGGGTGCATCTACACATTCATTAATGTGCATTAGTTACTGCAGATTTAGTTTAGTACTTGCTTAATGAAGTACTAAATAAATTGACAGTAATTACAGTTACTGCACAGTAGTGCTGACACACAGTTTTTTAGTGACGCTTACTGTGCAATAGCTTAATACTACTGTACAGTAACATATTAGCATGTTTTTTGCCCAGCACGCTATTACACAGTATTATTAGGTTATTGCACACTGTCTTCCAATATGGAGCACATGTATTTTTCTGCACATTAAGCATTAATAGCAGGTGTAGATATACCCAAGGAGCTGCAAACTCTGGGATAAGTAACTTAATTGTGTTATGAAAATGTTTTTCTTGCTCATTCTCGGGTTCAGTTTGCCTGGTTAACTAAAAGGGGAGGTAGAGGGAAACACCTAGGAGGATTGATGCAAGGTTGGCTTCCTTCAGTGGTCCTTTCACTTCTTCCCTTATACTTTTTGGAAATCACCATAGCTTTGAGCTTACCCACCTAAAGGATAATAAGGACCTTTATTTGAGTTTATCATACTAAAGGCTTTATAACATGTGATTACATGTTACAAATAATTTACCAGATATGCTGACTGATTCTCTTAATTTATTAAAAAAATTCCTAAATATTTATGATTGTCTTTTGCTATTTAATCTTTATTATTTTAATTTTTGATTCTATGCATTTTGGAGGGGGCTTTTTGTGAGGATTTCTTTTTGGTCTATTGGTTTTATATGGGTTGAGTTTTCATAATTTGAAGGGCTCCTTTTTTATATTCTGATACCATGGTAGATATCAGTGTCCCTTTTAAGATATGTGGCTAAAAGTTTTGCACTCATCCCATAAATCCACCTTCTCTTGCTAACTCTGTGTGTGATATGAGTCAGATGAAATTTTAGCTCACAATGTTGTGGTAAAGTGAGTAAAAAGCTCTTAGAACATTTAGGATTTAATCCTGTGTTTCAAGTTACATTGCATTTGTGACAGTATAAGGCCAAACCGCATTCTCAAGTTTCTGATGACTGCAGGGGATATCAAAAATCTAGCTATATCTCATAACTCAATGTCCCAATCCTAGCCTCAACGAAGTTTATAGCAACTAAAAAGTTGCTCTGGCCTCTGCCAGCTAGCAGCGGTTTTAAGAAACCATCTGCAGGATCAGAATTGTTTTAGCACATAATGTTGATTCTTTCCTTTTCTTTATCCCTCTGCTATGTGGAAGGAGACACAGGAACCCATTATACCAGTTCCATACTATCATGGAATTAGCACACCAGGGGCAATTCTCCTTCAAATTTTAAGCATCTTCTACAACACATATATACTGGGTGAGAGAAAAGGAAAACCTATCACAACAGACTACTGAATATTCCTAGAAATAAGAGATGGCAAGACAGATTTAAATGATTTCTAGAAAAGGATCCAGCAGGCACCTTTCAAAAATATGCAACATAACTCCAAAGACCAGAATAAACCATATAAATAAGCAAGCAACTTTCTAGCCTCTCATATTATTTTGTGCACTGCCAAGGGCAGTTCATAACAGGATTCAGTTGTGGCAGGATCTGGCATGTTTCCAACACTCTGTGCATACACATTTACAGTATATTCAGCAAGGCCTTCAGTGCCACTCCACTTAATGCTGCGAATGCATTTTAAGAGTAATATGCACAGATTTGGATGTCTTTTACAAATTAGATGTTATAGGCATTGACAGCATACACATTAACAGTTCCTTTGGAGCAGTTTCTCTGTAAAATGTCAATTCGGATTAAGAGTAATGTGTTTTGCACTATGGAGCTTATTGAAATCAATGGTACTTGGTGCATTAGCAGTGTAGTGGCTTTATAACATGCAGGGCATGCAAAATACAATTCATTATGAGAAACAGTTTTTGGAAAGTCATAGGATCCATTTTATTAACTGAAAAAATTTTTTTTTTCTTAAAAACCACTGAAGCAACCAAAGATATTTGGAATTTTTTGTCCATCATTTTGGTATTACTGATATCCTCAGTACTGAAGCTGAGCTGCTACTTAACCGTATATGTGCCCAAATTTTCTCAGGACCAAAGTACAACTCTGGGTGCATCCACACAAAAAAATTACCGTGGAGCACACTAATTAGCTCTGCAGTCAACATCTTGGAATCTACATATGCAGGGCTATTAGGTTGGAGTAAACTAATTAACTCTGCAGTAAACTGTCTTGCTGCGGAGTTTTTTCACTCAACAGCAGCACATGTGTAGATGCTGAGCTGGCTGTCTGGGGCATGAAAGCACTTTTGTGCAGGGGCTGCCTGCTGGCTAGCCCCACACTGCAGCACACTTGTGCCCCAGTCCGTCCCTCTGCAGCACATTAAACTGGATCAGAGTAGCCCCTGGCTGGCAGGCTGAACCCCCAGACTCCTGCCAGCCAGGGCTGCTCGAAACCAGCTCAACATGTTGCAGTCCCAAGCACATGTGTAAACATGGGCCCAGGAGCAATAAACTCCAGCATGATAAGCCATAGAATTTATAGTGTTGCATTAATATGCATGTATAGAGGTGCCCTGCCTGGTAAGATTTACTTCCCTGCTTGTTGTAGGCAACGTTAGTTCATACCCAAGATGGACAAAAGAGATTGGCCAGGGTTTTCCATATTGTCTGGTGCATGTATGTAATCTCCTTCTGGCTCTGTCCCTGTCCGCATCCCTCCAGTCCAGAACAGTCCAATAGTTAGAGCACTCTCCTTGGAATATGGAATAACAGTCTCCTCCACTCCAGTGTAACATAACCGGGTGGGCCTTTCTCAATCCCTCCTCCTCGAGCTATTCCACATTGTATATGTTATTAAATATTGATTAGCACAAAGATATGAACCTCATTCTCCCATGTGCCAGGTGAGATCCTTGTGCACTGGGTTTCTCACAATGTCATTTTTCAGGACCAGAAAATAAGACTGGCCAGACTTGCTCTTTTGCTTCTTCCTTCTTTCCTTTCCTCCTTTCCTCTTTCTCTCCCTTCTATTTTACTTTCTTCTGTTCCAAAAGCTTTTGAGAATCAAGAAACCAACCACAAATTAACCCCCCTATATCAAATGTGAATTGGTGAAATGTATTACATCTCTATTTCTAAAATAATAAAACAGTTCAAAAAGCAATTAACAGGAACAGAAAGATAAATTTTAAACAGACTACCCCTAATAAATTTCTTATCACATACCTGCTGAGTAAAGACTTGATCCTGCTGCCATTGAAGTCAGGTCATACATTATTTTAATTTCTTCTAGCTAGCTTGCTGGCTTTTAGTTCTTATAGTAGCATCCATCACTGAGGCATCTAAGTGCCTCTGAGGAAATAATAACTACTGTAACAACTGGCCGGTCGTCTAATTTTCCTCTCTACTTCCCCTGAGGCCGTCAAAGTTAGGGGTATATTTTTGTTTACTGTCTTAACACAACTTCTCTCCACTTTTCCTTGCTGGCTTCAGCCTTTTTGACTCCTCCAGCTTCTCTCTTACTTTTTGCTGCTTTCAGGTGTCTCTGTGTGTTTTTTTAGGTGAAGAAGTCAGTTCTATATTTTACTTGCAAGGGTGTGAAATAATGCTCATTCTTATCTCCTCTGCTAATTAATTCTGAAGCCTTGGCCCAACTGAAGTAAAAGTCAACTTGTACTCATGAGCCAGTCCTTTATTCATTTCATGTTCATAACATAAATGTAATATTGATACCAATGGTACTAAAGGAATTGCAGATTACAAGTAGTTTAAAGGAACAGATGATGCGCATGTGTCTCATGGATCCCACACAGGAGAAATTATAGGCCAGATCCTATTATGTCTATTGTACTGACCTAAGAGGACTCAATACAGTTTTCCTCCTTCCCATATAATGAAACATGCTGTTATCATGCTGTTTTTGAAACACACTTAGACATAAATGTAGTCACAAAAAAAACAGGGAGGCAAAAGGGGAAGGACTCATTAAACTTTTAAACAGTGTTTCAGGATGGAATAGGATCATATTTAGGTGCCTAATTCCAAGTGCTTAATAAGTCTGTGTGACTTGCTGAAAGTCCTAGGTGTCACAGATTTGAGGCTAACACCATTATAACTGAGCTGTTCTTTTGTTCAACACAGCTGTCAGAGGAGATTGCCATTATGAAGAAAAGGATACTTTCCAAACTATCTACCTCTATGCAGTAACTGGCTTTGTAGATTAATTCTGAAATTGGCTGATATTTTGTCATGGGCCATTGAGCTGAGTCATGCACCAGATTGAGGTGTTCACTTGTCTCATACTTCTGAACAGGAAGCTACTGCACTCTGGATTCATTGAACAATCGGTTGTGAATGATCAGTTATTGTGGTTAGGTACAGAAAGTTACAATGACATTTCATGCAGGGTTGGGGGAGGTATGAAGGCATGAATCATAGTCACCAGGTCACTGATATGATTGCAGACAGCCTTATGGCTCATCACATTTGGATGGAAGTTCTTGGTTGATCCCTAAATAGCTCCACTTGGCAGTCTTGCCTGAAAGAAAATAGGATATAACAGAAGACAGCTAGCACATTTGAAAACCACAGCTTAAAAGATATTTTTTTCTAACAATTTAAATAGGATGTGATTTCTGGAGGACAACAACATAGAAATGTACTAAGGGAAGGTGGTAAGGATACAAGAAGACAAACAAACAAAAGCAGCAAGCATTGGGCTAGTTTGATTTAAGGAGATTAAAAAACAAAAAGGCCTCTGAACCAACCCAGATAAATAAATTGGGTAAATACTAATTAAGAACAGTGACACCTTGGTTCTTGTGTTTACAGGTTTTGCACTCTCCACAACACAATTTAGATTCCCACAGCTGTTACTGAAAGTCAGTCTTAGTCCATTACTTTAATTAATCTATGCTCATTATCAGCATGGCAGTTTTCCTATGAACAGAAAGTCAAAGGAGAAGATTTATAATTAGTGAAGGTTTTTTTAGATTAATTTGCAGGAAACTGAGACATTAAATATTTTCTACCCTTAGTAAAGTTCTTTGATCTGTAACAATACTGATGACATCTCTAAATACAGCCTTGAAGTAAATACTTGAGGGCGTGCAAATCTGGTGCATAACAGAAAATGTCACTCACACTAACCAGCTGCTTTCTCATTTCTTCATAAATTAAAGGGTGTTACCTTGTGCATATGGCTTTATCATGATCCAAATATTCTTCCAAGATATGAAAAAATCCTTTGTAATTGAAAGGAAAGAGACAATTACTTTAGAAGGCTAACCCTGCCTGCACATTTACAAATAACAATGCCTTTTAGTTGTAGAGATATGATTTAAAAGGTGCAATTGCATGGCCTCTTAATGAAAGTAGACACCGCATTTACCCAAATCTGAGACAACTTGGAATTTAAGATGATCCCCCAATAATTAGATTCTATAGCTGGGAAATTTATAAATTTGTTTTAAATTAGATATAGAATCTAATTATTGGAGGGTTGTATTAAATTTGTCCTCTCCATTGCTACAGCAGGGACAGGTAGAGGGGGGAAGGTGGCCCACTTGCCGTCTGCACTCCCCCCCAACGTACTTCTCTCTGCAGCCTGTCCTACCTCTCCTTCACAATGCCTGCAACCCCTGCCATCCTACCACCTGTGTGCCCCCAGTGCCTGGTCCCCACAGCCTCTGCCCGCTCCCTCCTCTTACTGTCAGAACTGGCTCCATTGTCTCTTGGGATGCAGAGCATATGGAAAAATGGCTCCCTGCCCAGCCATGCACCTGTAAAGTGAGCAACACTCAACCCCCTAAGCAGGGCCAGCTGAGACTCCACCTGCTGATTGATTTTAGGGCTCCTGGTCTCTGCTGTGCCAGAAACTGATTTCAGTCTGTGAGTAGGTCTTGCCCATGTGGCTTTCCTGGTGCCTGTTCCTGATTACTGCCTATGTACACAGTGTCTGGGTACTCATTTGACTTAGCCTTGTCTCCTGACATCTGCTTCTGGTAACCCCCTGACTTACATGAACCCCAGTTTAATGTTGGCTTGCTCTCTGGCTGCAGATGATAGTAACATTCCTGGCTATAACTACTAAGCTTAATGCCTCTGTGGACTCAGACAGTAGCAGCATCCCAGGGCCAGAGCTGTGCTGAGCAGGGGTTGGAACCTCTATGTGCACCAGGAGGGAACAGAGCCACAGCTGGAACGAGAACCAGTCCTGACAGTAAGGTGGGGGAGAGGGGCAGGGATTGGGGGGAAGTTGTGGGGGCAGAGGCTGCGGAGGGTGGGTGGGGGAAGAAGTGGCTGCTGTAACTCTGGCCTATGTCAGAGTCACAGCAGCTGGTGGCTGGAGTCGGAGCTGCAGCAGTTGCCCCCAGCTTTTCTCTTCACCTCCAATCCTGTATTTGAGCCAAGACCAGGGGTTTTCCCCCCCTATGCTGAATGGAGGAAAAAAAACCCTCATCTTGAATTTGAGCAAATGTAGTAGTACTTATTTCATATAAATATTGCATTTCACATTATATCATAGAATCATAGAGAATTAGGGTTGGAAGGAACCTCAGGAGGTCATCTAATCCAAGCCCTTGCTCAAAACAGGACTGTCCCCAACTGTCATCCCAGCCAACACGTTGTCTACCAAGGTCTTAAAACCTCCACAAATGGAGATACCAAAATGTCTCTGGGTAACCTGTTGCAGTGCTTTACTACCCTCCTTGTGGGAGAGTTTTTCCTCATATTTAACCTACACTTCCCAAGCTAGAACTTGAAACCATTGCTCCTTACTTTGTTATCTGCCACCACTGAGAACAGTCTAGCTCCAGCCTCTTTGGAACCACACTTCAGGTAGTTGAAGGATACTATTAAATCCTCCCTCAACTTTTCTTGTCCAGATTAAATAAACTCAGTTCCTTCAGATTTTCCTCTTAAGGCATGTTCCCCAGTTCTCTAACCATTTTCATTGCCCTCCACTGGAATCTCTCCAATTTGTCCACATCTTTCTGTAGTAGAGGCCCCCAAACTGGACACAGTACTCCAGATGTGGCCTCACCAGTGCTGAATAGAGGGATCACTTCCCTTGATCTGCTGGCAATAATCCTACTAATGCATCTCAAAATGCTGTTACCCTTCTACACAACCAGGGCACATTGTTGGCTCATATTCAACTTATTGTCCACTATAACTCTCAGGTCCTTTCTAGAAAGCTGCTGCTTATCCAGTCAGTCCCCAGTCTATACTAGTATATGGGACTGTTCTGTCCTAAGTGCAAAAATTTGCACTTACCCTATTGAATTTCATGAAATTTCTTCTGGTGAATTCATGCTGCCTGTTCCTAATGACCTTCATTTCCCTTAGCAGTTCTGGGCACCGCACTTCAGGAGGGATGTGGACAGCATTGAGAGGGTCCAGAGGAGGGGCACCCACATGATCAGGGGCAGCAGGGCAAGCCCTACGAGGAGAGGCTAAGGGACCTGAACCTATTCTGCCTCCACAAGAGAAGGCTGAAGGGGGATCTAATGGCCTGTTATAAACTAGTCAGAGGGAACCAGCAGGCATTGGGGGAGTCCCTGTTTCCCCAAGCACTACCAGGAGTGACTAGAAATAACAGTCACAAGCTGGCAGAGGGTAGATTCAGACTAGACATCAGGAGGTGCTACTTCACAGTCAGGTCGACTAGGATCTGGAACCAACTTCCAAGCGAAGTTGTGCTGGCTCCTACCCTGGGGGTCTTTAAGAGGAGGGTAGATGAACACCTTGCTGGGGTCATTTTAGCCCAGTATTTTTTCCTGCCATGGCAGGGGGTCGGACTTGATGATCTGCTCAGGTCCCTTCCTACCCTACCAACTATGAAACTATGAAACTCTCCAAAAACTTCCTGCATTGCTTGTGCACTACTGTGTTGCCCTCCCAGGTGATTGAAGCCCCACATGAGAACCAGGACCTGTGATCTGGAAACTTCCACTAGCTGTTTGAAGAAAACTTTATCTATATCATCCTCCTGGTCTGATGGTCTGTAGTAGACACCCATCATGACATCACCCTTGTTGCTCTCTCCTCTGACCCTAACCCAGAGACTTTCAACAGGCCTATCTCCAGTTTCATAATGGAGCTCTGAGCAATTGTATGGCTCTTTTACATAAAGTGCAACTCCTCCTGCCGTCCTTCCTGAAAAGTTTGTACTCATCCATGACAGTGGTCCAATCATGTGATCTATCCCACCAAGTCTCTGTAATTCCAATCATGTTATAGTTCCATGACTGTGTGAGAAATTCTAGTTCCTCCTGTTTGTTACCCAGGCTTCCCTTGCATTCATGTGCAGACCTCTGAAGTAAATAGCTGATTGCCCTACTTTCTCAGGAAGAATGAGAAGGCAGCCCTAGTTGCTCCATCCTGCTTATGCTGCCTTCAAGTCATCCACTACCCAACTTATCTCAGGGCTTTTGTCTCCTTCCTAGTTCTAATACACTGAAAGCTCACATATATAATATAATGAAATATATAACAAATATAACATGGCATATATTATGACACGATATGATATAATATTGTAATATAATGTCAAATGAAACATGAATTGTATAATATAGTGAAAACTGACATATGTTATGTTTACCCTCCAAAGATATGGGTATTTGCTGATAGCTGATAGCTCAAATGCCCCCTATTGTATATCAGGTATACTTACTAAAAGAAAACTATGTCAAATTAAATTAAATTGAGAATTTAAATCAATTGTTGAGGATAAAGTGCATTGGAGAGGTATTGCAACTATCTTATAAAAGAGTAAAATAAGACCAGAATATTCAGAATGCAGGTTAAATTTAAAAGAAACCCAAAGTATATAGATATATAAATTTACTTTGAGAACCAATAACTTTAATTTTGTTCTGCTGTGACATTTGCAATATTAACTTGGAAATTAAAAACCAGTCTTTATTTCAATATTGAAAAATAGTTGAATAAATAAAGCAGTTAAAAAGAGTTGTAAAACTGAGAGGAAAATAACATATATGATTTTCTGCAAGAGAAAAATCATACTTTTTTCATTCCCACAAGTAAGTTAATAGTGGATAAATGTTAACTAGGAGCTACTATTTATTTGCTCCCCAAAGCCTTTGATAAAGTGTACAGACTGAGTTTTGCTTGAGTGATATAAAAACCTAAAATATTAACGCATGGAAGGCTAAGTAATGGGTTAGAATGTGATTAAGGGCTCCTTTACATGTTACATTTATATTACAATTAATACCTTAGGTCTTATATGGCCCTTGGTATGGTCACTGGGCCAACAATCAGCTGATTGTTGTTCCCAGCCCCAGTGTGGTCCTTGGATTTTAAATCAGTGTTGGTGTCACCCTGACCCTGGAGCTGAACCTAGGTCTTTAACATAACCATTCCCAATAACCATTCCCAATCAGCTGATTGTCAGGCCCTGCCCCAGGCTAACAGGCTGTGAGTATCTAGCTTACAACTTGTTAATTCAGGTAGATGCTGAGATTTTCATATATTATTTTGATCTGATCTCTGTTCCCAAGATCTTGCCTCCTACTATGCATATTCTGGGATCAGGGAGAAGTAATCTATATTAAGCAGGGAAAGTATTGGATGATGGTCTCAATTTCTTCTGGGATTGGTGTTTGTGACAGGGGGCAAGCTTGGTGCCAAATCTCAAATCAGCCTGCCCGCCTGTCTATGGGGCAGTCTGCCCAGTCTCACCTGCCATGACTTTGCTGTAACCATGAACTGGTGGAAAATGCAGGTTGCTGCTCATTACATGCCCCGATGCCAGGGGGCACTGTCCACAGCTCTGTACTATCCCTACACTGGGGCCCATGCTTCACAGATGGCACCGTAAGTTCTTAGTGTCTCCAGCCCCACACTGGGCCCTATAACACTAGTGTGGACCCCAACTAGATACCTTCTAATCAGGCAGTCAAGCTTCCTGACCCCTTCTATCTCTTGTTTGTGGCCCTCCTGGGACCTTTGGCCACACAGGCCCTGGTCTCACCTTCCAGGCCAGTCAGAACCCCAGGACCCCAGCTCTAGGCATCCCTCGTGGTGGGCCCCTGGCTCTTCAACCATCCTGGTCCTAGCCCCAGCATGGACCAGTCAAGGGTACTTTGGGTCAAGTCTGAGCTGTTTGTCCCTTCTCTCCTACAGGTCTGCCTTCTTGGGCCCCAGTACAGGGTTACCCACCTGGTTGTGGGTGCTGGGTTTATAAAGGTGCTGGGGTTATAAACCTACCTTTCACCAGAGAGGTTCATGGTCCTGGCATTTGAGTTGGGCTGCCATGCCACTGGCAGTCTCACCAGGCCTCCCTACCCTGGCAGGGTACAGTTTCAGGTCATGTTCAGGACCAGAAGCCTCCAAGCCATCCCCTTAGCTCTTGCCCTTACCCCCAGGATGTTCCATACCACAAGAGAACTGGATAGAGCTGCTCCCTCAGCTGCAAGCAGCTAACTGCTGTCTCTGCCTGGCTGAAATTTGTTTGAAAATGGCCTCCTTAATCAGGCACCTGTTGGCTGCCTGCTCCCACCTTTAAAGTGGCAGGCACCAAGGGTGCACTGCCACAGTGTTCTATTAGGGAAATAAGAAAAACTCTGTTCCTAATCTGTAAAAAGGGGAATCAGCATAGTAGCAATGAGGACACCAGTTTTCTTCAGAAATGCCTAACAAATGTATGTGACTGGTTAGTGGAATGAGAAATGAAATTTACTGTAGATAAGTGCAAGGTAATGCACATTGCTA